CCCCCCCCCCCCCTTATTAGCCAGTGGCATCGGTTTAATAGACCACGTGCAGGAAAGTGTGTTTGCCTAGAGACCCTAGTTAATGAGCATAAAATGCAATTGTTTTATTACAATTCTCTGTGTAATCCAGTCTGATAAGAAAGTTAATTAACTTTGAAAACATGTCCCATATGCATATGCACAGCAGAGGCTATACCACTGACTAAATGGGCCTGTAACCATGGTAACCGTATTCAAAAACAGGTCTCTAGCTTTGCATTCAAGACAGTAATGCTACACTCCCAGTCCTCTGTTGCTATGGTGCCCTTTCACAGGCGTCTAGTGAAGACAGACCATGTTTGTTAGAGTGTTGGTAGACAGTCAGGCTGGTGGTCACAGCAGCAGAACCGAGTCCTGTTGAGGCTTGTCTGTGTTTTGAGGTGTGGCGTTGGTCGCATGCAGGTGTCTGTTAATGAGTTTTGAAGGCTGTGAAGCTTGCAGAAGTAGTTCAGAGAGGGGAATTGCCATAGTAACATCAATATTCTTACCCCTCCTTCTCCTCTTCCTCACTTCCTCTGTTAAGATGGCAGCCCGAAGAAGCCAGAGGATCTGACTGTAGCTCTCTGATGGCAGCTTATGTCATGTTTCTGTACTGACTCAACTTCACCTCTAGAGGGGGCAACAGGTTCAGAGCTGGCTCTGAGCTGGCTCTTCACCTATGAGTGTGTGTGTGTGTGTGTGTGTGTGTGTGTGTGTGTGTGTGTGTTTTCTATATGAGGGCAATGTTTCACCGTCTCTCTGGCCAGTAGATTGAATGTATGACAGGATAGAGGGGATCATTTCTTCCTCTCTTGAGCTGCCTGAGCTTTTAATACATTAACCTTTGACCTCTGGGCACATCTCATATTGATTTGATGCCCTTTTGAATACCCCCCTCGAGTACCCCTTTTTATTTAGCTCATCTTCTTTCCCTCCAAGCGAATTGCATGCTGTATGTGTGTAATGGGGCTTGCATGGCTTGTCATTTTTACTAGGTGGAAAGTGGTCGACTAGTCAGTGGATCACTGGTTACCTTATTTGTTGACTCAACATCAGTAGTCTTTGCTGTTTCTGGCAAGTCTAATTCTGCATAAAGGGAGAGTTTGAAAGTGCACAAAGTCCACTCGGCTGAATCAGGTGAGAAATTGCCATTTCCACATTCATTCTACAAAAACAAACAAAAAAAAAAACAGTCATGTCTCAATTGCTTATGGTTTCTGTCAACCTTTTGAGCTCCACTTAAATTAAGTTCACTTAGTTTCAGAACGGTTTGCAATAACTTTGGATCAATTTTGCTTGAAATGGACCACCTCAGAATTCTGCAGCAGAATTATATAACATTTGCTTATAATGTGCTTTGTGAAAGTAAACCACTTTATGGGCCCAAAAGGAGGGTTTCACAACAATGTGACCATGAAGAATCATTTTGGGTACCCCAAAGAACCTTTCAGTGAACTATTCTTCAAAGAACTGTTTGTTTATTAGTCTTTATTATTAGAAGAACGTTCCAATAATCTGAAGATTATTTTTTCCCTATAAAGAATCTTTTGTGCATTGGAAAGGTCCAGTGGATGTTAAATGGTCTTCATGGAACCGTAGATGCAGATAAAGAACCTTTTAATTTTAAGAGTGTAATTTCAAGTATATTTGGCTATTATGGCTCATTAAATAAAGGCAGCAGCACAATTTTTAAAAGAACCATTTTTGTTAGTGTAAAGAACATTTTAATAATCTTAATTTTTTTTCAAACTCTAGAACCCTTCTGTGCAGTGGAAATTTGCCATAGGTGTTAAAGGTTCTTAATGCAACCATAGATTTAAAAAATAATAATTTTAAGAGTGTAATTTCCAGCATTTTTGGCCATTATAGCTTATTATACAAAGCTAACAGCATGTACCTACACGGATACACAGTTTATCGACTGTTTTTCCTGCTTTTCAATATATGTTGAGCTAGCACAACTGAAGTCATTTGAACCATGACTAGTCGACACAGACCCAGTGAGTTGACTAGTCGTGCAACCCCGAGTGCGCAAGAGAGTGAAATTGAAGATACGCTGCTGTGTATGTGAGAGTGTGAATGAGTGCATGCTGGGTAATGAAAGCTTGCATGCGTATGTTTAATTTGTTAGTTATTATATAGTAGTTTAGTGTGCATCTAAGTACACTACTTCTGTACTAACGGTGTCTCCCCCCTGCAGGATAAGACCAGCGCGCTGAGTCTCAGTAACGTGGCCGGCGTGTTCTATATCCTGGTGGGGGGTCTGGGTCTGGCCATGACTGTGGCTCTGGTGGAGTTCTGCTATAAATCGCACCAGGAGACCAAACACCTCAAACTTGCCAAAAATTCCCAGAACTTCAAACCAGCTCCTCCGTCCACCACACAGAGTTTCACCACATACAGAGAGGGCTATAACGTCTACGGAACAGAGAGCGTCAAAATATAATGGTTCGTCTAAGGCTGTTTTCTTTGTGTTTTTCATGTTTGTTAGTAATACCATTTCTTAAGAAAAAGGTATTAATGATGGGTGATCTACTTTTGATGAGTGATGATATCAGAGTTGCTGTTCAGTTCTGAGGTAAGTAAAGTTTCCCCACTGTGTTAAAGCTGCGTCTTTTTTTTGTTTTGTTTTTAGAATAACACTTATAAACTGTCCCTACTATTTGACAGATATCACTAAAAGAGTTGTTCTGAGAAATCACACTTGTCTCTGTAACTGCCCTAAGCTTTGTAAACATAAAAGAAACAAGAATTAGAGTGTGATTCAGTCATGTTAGCCAGTCAGCAGAGTTGGGAAGTGTTGCTTTTAAAAATGACAAATTACACTACCATTCAAAAGTTTGAGGTTGGCAAGATATTTTTATCTTTTTAAAAGAAGTCTCTAATACTCACCATGAATGCTTTTATTTGATCGTAAATAGTCAAATCTGTGATACATTTTGAAATATTAGAATTTAAAATAACTGTTTTCTATTTTAACATGTTTTAGATCTTATTTATTCCTGTGATTGCAAAGCTGGAGTAACAGCCATTACTCCAGTCTTCACTGTCACATGATCCTTCAGAAATCATATTAATATGCATACTTGGTGCTCAAGAAACATTTCTAATTTTCAGTGTTGAAAATTTTTGTGAATTTTTTTTTTTTCAGGATCCTTTTATGAATAGGAAGTTCAAAGGAACAGGATGTATTTGAGATATAATTTTTGTAACATTATAATTGCCTTTGTCACTTTTGATTAGTCAATTAATCAATTAATTAATTTCTGAAAAATATGTACTGACCTTAAACTAAAGTATGCATTAAGTAGTGACCATGTAATATGAGCTATTTGTAACCACATTTTGCCAGTAAGAAAATCATAAAACTTGAATGCAACCGTAATATTGGTTGCATTTAAGTCATGACCTAATGGTTAGAGAGTCAGACTTGTAACACAAAGTAACCCAAAGGTCGGGGGTTCGAGTCTCGGTACCAGGAGGGATTGTAAGTGGGGGGAGTGAATGTACAGCACTCTCTTCCACCCTCAATACCACGACTGAGGTGAGACCCTTGAACAAGGCACCGAACCCCCAACTGCTCCCCGGGCGCTGCAGCAAAAATGGCTGCTCACTGCTGTGTTCACTTGGATGGGTTAAATGCAGAGCACAAATTACGAGTATAGGACATCATACCTGTCCACACGTCATGTCACTTAACTTCAAAATGATGGGGCACCTGTCAAACTGTCAGGGATGCATACAGTAGGAGGTGGTCTCTAATTCAATGCTTTGAGGTGTAGTCACATATTTACTGTTTGTTCTGCAAATTTTCAGTCGGAATCCATGCGATCAGGAATGTCGCTTAAGGGTGAAATAATTCCCCACGCAGATTTTGGTCAAGTGAAATTGCTTGAAAGCTGCTTGGTTTGAAAGTTACCTCTCAGTGAGCTGCGTGTCATACATCACTACACTATTGATAACAGACAGTGGGTCTTTTGTTGCTGAAATTTTGCTCATTTGACCACACTTGTAGTCTGGTGGTATTTGCAGCAGCTTTAAATTGTTCCCCATGAATCAGGAGCTCCATCTCTTCAAACTTTCTGCGTTTAGATCAGCGCTCTGTTGATTTGCTGCCTTTTGTCTGAATGAATTGTTCTGTTATTGTCAAAAGAGCATATCTGTCTGCAAGTCTCAAATGGGTTGGGCTGCTCTCTTTTCTTATTCTCAGATTGGAAGCCTGTCCCTTGCTGATCATGTGGTATGTGGCATGGGATAGACTCTCCGTCTCTTTGAGTCGACTGCGATTCCCTTTAGAAAGTGGACACGCACCCAACCAAAACTCATCTCACCAGAACACTTGTCTTCTCGGCTCTGAACACAACCTGAACCAATAATCACGCGACAGACTATCGGATGGACCAAGACCCGCTCGCCCTCTCTCAGTGCCTTACTGAACCAGTGGCAAAACATGCAGACCATCTCACCAAAGTCCTGGAGATGTCCTGCTGGGTGCTGGGTCTAAAACCATGTTTCAATTTATTCTTATTATGAGAGGGAATAATGGAAAAGGAGGGAAGGAGAGATGGACACACACGGTGATAAGAGGTTTGATTTGGTTGATCTCATGATCAGTGATGACAGTGTTTAATGAGTGACAGTCAGCTTGTCTCCATGACAACTCGCACTAGAAGGAGTGTCTGCAGACAAACAGTTTATGCAATTTGTAGGAAATATTTTTGAATGATTCTGCTTATTAATTTAAAGTTTGTGCTGTGATTCTGTGTCCTCAACAACATAATTGTTATGAATAATGTAAATAATACTTTCAGATGCATTATGGCATCAGAGGACTAATCTCAATATTGTTTCCCTTTCACAATTTGCAGTTTATTTCGATTTTTTTTTCTTAGCATATTTACTTTGTAGTGAATTCATAGTGTGTGTGTGTGTGTGTGTGAGAGAGAGAGAGAGACAGGACACTTCTCTCTTTTCTGTACTGTAAACCCAACAAGAGTGTAAGATTCTAAATTTGTTTGCCAAATTACTTTATTCTGAAACATAGGAGCTAATGACCTCCTAATGAAGCACATTCATATAACATCAGCAACAACAACAAATGTTCATATATTTCACCATCATAGTCAACTGTTTTCTGTTTAGATCAGTTTTTTAAGTCAAGCTTAGGAAACAAAAAATGTTTAATTGTTTGCAATTACTTTTTTGTTTTAAAATGCTTTAATAAACTGCGATTATAACTGAGATAAAATATGAATACTGTTAAGCTGATACAAAAAAAGAAAACATGGATTTTTGATTTTATAAATGCAGATAAAGTCTCTCTGTTTAAATTCTTAACATTTGTTTAGATGGTAAAATGCATATTTATTTTGAAGATTTTGTAAAACTGTTTGATTTTTAAGTAGATTTGCATGTACGGTAAAGATGAAAACAGCTTTCACCTCAAGAAAGCCTCCCTTGACATGTCCCTCTTCCCATGTCCCAGTCCTCTGCTCTCCCTCTCCTCCATTCCCCGTTAATTAAAGAAAGAAAGAATAGGAAATTATGAAATGGTCAAGATACATCCTGAGGAAAACAATAATCTGTCCCTCTGCATGACTGCAACCAACTCTTAAACATTTAAGTATATTTTGTAAATAAAGGCAAATTTAAGACAAATTTCTACTGACTAATGTGTCATTTCAGCACATATTACCGGTGAATTTAAGTATATTTAATCTCATTCTCATTTTTCATTGACGCTTACATTTGTCAGGCAATTTGAGTGTTGGATTGCCTTACTTAGAGTTGTCTGTACAGATTAGGTTGGTAGAAGGTATTTTAATATGAAAAACACCTTGTCATCTTACATTTTTGTCATCTTTTATCATGTCTGACAGCTACACAGCTGGAGCTCTGCACAGCTGACTATCATGTTCCGCTAAACTACCAAAGAACCACGAGATATTGTCAAAAGCTCTGCATTCTAGATTTTCAGGGCTAAATGAAGAGGTGATCATATTTATAACTCACAAATAATCCTCATCACAAATGCAATACATGCCACCTGCTGAGCAAATAAGCGCCTGCTGTGCATGTAAATATAGCAGCAGCTGACAGTTAAACAGATTTGCGTAGAAAGAGATTAATGGTAAAATGCGTCACCGCAACTGCTTTTAGAGCTTTATAACCAGTGTAGTTCTATTTGATTCCTCCGAAGGCTTACCAGTATGAAGGCTGGTGTGGCGTAGCGGCAGAAGCCCTGAGTTGGTCACCAGAGGGTTGCTGTTTCGATCCATGGAATCATCATTGGTCCCTTAAGACCTGCAGGAGGACTGTGTCTGTAGTAGGCTACGTGTGGATAATGAGTGAATAAAAGCGTCTGCTAAATTGCTGCTACTGAATATTTGAACAAGTGTAGATTACGGGTGTTTGTATTGACTGTATAAAAAGAACACCTGTATAAACGCAAACATTGAAAATACACTCCAGTGTCTGACTTGATGCTCATTGCAGCAGTTCTGCAAACTGGCCATATGATTTTTATTCAGATAATGAATGGTGATGCACCCGCCACACCCCTCCAATGCCACAACGCTCTCATTTCCCCAATGACTCGGTGGTGTTTTAATTTATGTGCCGCCTGTCTGGTTTGGATGAGACGAGCTTTTGCTGTCTATATCCACCTTATTTACTTATTTATTTATTTTGTTTTGCTGCCGGTTTGTAAGATCGCTCGTGTCCCTTCGGTTGCCTGGCAACGCGCGTGGCAGTGGGCGCTCCTGACCTTGCGTCCGCGACCGCGCGCGCTTAAAATAGACCCGGGGAGATTGACGTTAATTGAAAATAAGAAAAACGCAAGAAGAGCCAAGCGCCGTTCACACGGCTCGACGGGGAAAAGGGTGATATGTTGGATGGTGGGAACAATGAGATATGCGACTATTACAGTGCACGCTCGGATGCGATACCGGCTGAGCGATTCGGCAGGTGAGCTTAACATTTGCTTATTTATGGCTGATCTGATGCGCGCCGTCGGTTCTCCATTCAGGCAGCGGTGAGAACGAAAAGTCCCGAGTAATAAGAGCAATTTTCCGATGCTGGTGAATAAAAAATGTGGGTAGTTAAAAAAAAGCGCAAATTGGATTGTGTATGAGTGTATGTGGAACGCGTTTTGATTGAACAATGAACGCTGGTATAATGAATGCGCCGCATTGCTAGTATCTGGGAAATGGCTACGATAAAAGGATGTGGTTTTTGAAAAGGAAATATTTATCTTTTCTTTCTTTGATTTGATTTCATTATAACGGCATTTTCTTTCTCTCATCTGCAACATGAAAGCTCGCAATCGTAAGAGGGTTAGCAGAGAGCGAGCAAGAGAGAGAGAGAGACGAATTGGTAGAGAGAGGAAGAGAATTATCATTCGAATAACCTCAAAGCCATGATTTGCTGCATCTGGGCTGTGGGGTCTCGTTAATCATAGTCATTAGATGGCCGTAAGCAGTCGGCTTTGTAATTCTACTCAGACTACATCCATTTATTCGCATCTGTTTGAAAACACCTCTGCCAGCACCGTTATTTAGTTGTTCCACAGGCCTGTCTGCTAGAGGGACACTCGGGGGTCGAGCCGCTCTCCGCATGCATGCTCAATACCCGCTGATATATTAATCACGGGCGGCGCGTGACGCTGCGCGCGTGTGAATTAAAGCTGCAGTTCGTCACCTGTTGGAAAGGTAACGGCAGCGCACGCGGGAGTGCCAGTCAGAAACCAGTCCGTGTGGATGAATCCAGGAAGCGAGACCCGTACAGATTTCAAGTTGTCATGGTGATTTTACCATCTGTTGGCTCGGTTTGCTTAAAGCTTTCGTGTCCAAAGGCGTTATGTTGTATGTTTATGATACAAAACACTGGTATTAGCCGATTCGAGGGAAGGTTCGTGACACCGCAGGTACATTTTCACGAGCTCTTGTTATCGGATGTGAGGTGAATACTGAACCAGCCGTGTTTTATAATGAAATGCCCCCGCATAGTTTATTATCCGCACGCCATCCCGCCACTGCACCTTTCAGTCGGAGCTACGGAGGAGGAGGAGGAGGAGGGACAAGACTATTGGTATTCATCTCTCGTATGGTAGTCTCTTTCACTGTCCCTGCCGTGAGTCCGGGGAACACACACGCATACACATACTCACCCCATTCCTAGTGAATGCAGGAAAGAAGCGGTAGCCTATACCCTGTATCATTAAACCTGAATAGGCAATAGCACCAGTTTCATGTAAATAGAGCTGAATTTGCTAATTCAATGAAAGCTGACTTTTTCATTTAATTTCTCGCACAGTTATGTGGGGTAAATATCAAGGACCCCAATCTTGAAACACATCACTGGCCTGCGCAGCTGACCTGATTCAGGCGCGCGCCGTCTACTACCCCTGTCCGCTCGCTACTGGAAAATGGGCACCGAAATAAACGGACTCCCAGTATTCTCTCGATGGGCCTCCACGGTTCAGATTAACTGACCCACATTACAGGGATGGAGGAACCCAGAGCTAAAATTATTGACAGAAATGCAGGGCACACGAGAGCGTTTATTTGCATCTGCTGATATTCTACAGGTAGCGGTTCTCTTCAGCACCATGGACAGCGACAAGAATGAACAAACAGTAAAAGATCGGTAAAAGACCTAAAGGGCTGGTCCATGCTATACATGTCATACTACATGGCACGTCATTATATATGTTTTAATATATCAGATGACTTCATTTGTTCAACATTTTTAAAGATTGAAATATTTAGGCTTATTTCCATGCATTCAGCATCAGCATGTTAGGCATCATGGAAAATGTTCTTGTTTTTGTGTAATTTGTCAAGTTGAAATCTATGGTTTTAAAACCTGAGCTTGACCAGCGTTTATTTCTGAAGGTCAGGTGTCCTTAATTCAAAATACTTTACAGATTTCAGTTAGCTTCTGTGTAAGACCTGGTTTATTTTGCATTGGATTCTTTATTTTGTGTTTTTGTATTGTTTGCAGTTCTAAAGTTGAATTTACAGGAAAGGCAATTACATAAAATAGGTCATATAAGCTAACACCTGCTCAACACACCAGCGTTTTACAGCACTGTGTATGAAACTCGTTTCACACCTCTATGAGTGCCAGGCAGTAGATATCAAGGATTTTAGGTTCTGTACTTGAAGTTGATAGTGATTTTGTATTGCATAGTGCTTTGAAGCATTTAATGCATTTGTTTTAAGAACACTGTATTTACATTTACATTTAGTCATTTAGCAGACGCTTTTATCCAAAGCGATATATATATATATGTTCCTGGAAT